AAGCTGTAGAATTGCATCGTCGGGTCTGTTTGGATCTGGGTTTCTATTAAAAGCTTTACGAACTGCCGTTAGACCAGTATTGTTATCGATATTAGTATACATAGAAGAAACGTCGATAGAAATTAAAATAGCATTAGAGGGAACACGAAGATTTTTTATTTTATTGACAAAATCGGTTTTGTCTTTAAGGTAGGCGCGATGTTGACATGCTAGAGGTAGTAAGAAATGATCAATGTATTCTGACACTGCATATGACTCACTACCACAGTCAGATATAATCGGACGGCCTTTAGGGATTTTATTCGAGATAAACCACTCCTAGGTTGGATTCTTATGGATTTTAGGCAAAGTGTACAAATGTCTCTCGCGACAATCAGGTTTGGCAGACAGATAGTCATATTGTTTCTGTTTGAGATAACTAGTTTTGACTAAATCGGCAAGAATATTGTTAATCATGTTGGCACTTTCTTTGAAAATTGGTTTCGATAAAATGGCATAATGTTTAGGATTATTCAGTTGATTCTCTGTTTCTGAAACGTAATCCTCCCTTTTCAGAATGACACAACATTAATCTTTGTCACTCTTTTTAATAACAATGCTATCGTCTTTCTTAAGTAAGTTTAACGCTTCACGTTCCACTCGTGTGAGATTAGGCTTTTCGTGTGTTATGGAAAGGTTCACTGTTTGGCTATTCATACTCGCAAATGCTTTCAATATTTCAGGATGGATGGCGGCCTGAGGGGGTGTCCACGTGGATTTAGGAATAAACATTGTTCTAGGACCACGTGGGGGGTGGTTTCGAAAAAAATATGTGCAGCCAAGATTTCGTTGAAATCGTTCAATGGATGGTCGGAGATAATTCAAGTTAGCTATCTTTGGTGTGGGAATAAATTTAAGTCCACGGTCTAAGATTGAATGCTGAAGGGGTGTGAGAGTTTTGCGCTCAAATTAACTACAGTTTGGTCTAGCGGTGGCCTCTCAGTATTTTTATCCCCAGTAATTAGTTTAAAGACTTACTCGATGCTTGAAGCTGGTGTATCCAAAACAAATAAATGCTGTTTCTGGAGACCAATGAAGATTATCAACTGGTTCGAATTCTTATTCGTAGGGTGGTAAGATTGTTGCGCTGTTGATACTGGACTCCATCATCATGTTGTTGAGAGTGCTGAGGTTCTGTTGTGCTTTCTTCGAGATTTTATTTGAAATGGGTATACATGTGAAGAGGATCTTGGAGTTTGGGAAGGTTTTGTTGGCTGTGGCGATTAATTTCTGGGCTTGGTTAAAGGAGGTCTTTGGTAGCTGATCACGGTTGTTGAGGCCTACATGAAGAATAATGGTAGTAGGTTTGGGATCATGGTCGTATGATTCTAGGATTGTCTGTATGTGATGGATTTGGGCACCGGGGTAAGAATGTATTTCAGTGTCTGAACTGGTTTTGGTAATTCGATTCAGGTTAGATGATCCAATTATTAAGGTAGATTTCTTTAGAGCAGGTAGCTTCCATAATGATTTGTCCTTGGTTTGGTGATAATACGGTTTGGTAGCGGATATAAAGGTCGTCGACGGTGTGATTGGTACTGGTTTGGTGGTTGTTAGAATTGTAGCATTGGGAAGGACTGGGATCTGGTTCGAGGGGTTCGTTACATCACAAATTAACGAGTTTTTTTTTAAGAGAATTAAACCGAGATTGGCAAAATTCTAACAAATAAACTTAATGCCTGGATCAACCTTTTAGTTCCTCCTGTTACGAGAGTATTATATGTGAGACTACGGTAGACTTATCATATAATATTATAAAAATAAAACGTCGAGTCGTCTGACAATAAAGGAAAAGGAAAAATAACACGTTAAGGTGTTTTTTCGTCTTTGAACCTTAGCACCTGCAGGGATGAATAAACAGTTCTCATATTTGAATTAGTTTATCTATCTCATGTTTCTGTGACCTATATCTTTTGTCAGTCTAGTGTTGTTCTTCGTAGAGATAGGAACTATCTCGCTTTTGTCGCTTGATTAAGGGATTAGTCCCGAAACATAGCTACATTTACTCTAATTGTATTTTTACCTACTGTTACTTGTTATTGCGTGATTTATTTTTTCCTCACTGAATATTATATAGATATATTGATTGTAATAAATTTAAAATTTAAATTTAATAAATTTGTCATTGTGGGTGACGAGATTTATTACATACCAAAACTGTTCAAAACTCTTAGAAGAAGTTGGAAGAAGTTAGTGCAGTCATCTACTGTCTCGGCGCGGAGGTATTTAGATAAAACTATATCCAGAAAAATACACCTGGAGAGAAATTTGACTGTAACGGGCAAGTGCACAATTTTTTCCTTTTTTTTTCTTTTTGGTTGTTGTTGACCAAACATACCGTAGTCTCAGAAACGGGAATCAGTGTTCACCGCTCATTCCAAGTTGTTCCCTCATTGACATGAAAATTGAGCCTACTGGTTCATGTGTAATATTGTGGTAGCTTTGATAGGAACCCGACAAGCTATTGGATGTAAGTAACACGCACTAAAATATGGTATACAGTAGGTGTAAGATGGTGAATTATGGACATACATAGTAAGTAGTAATCTATTTCGTCAAATTGATACTAGGTATAAAGATTACTTGCCATGTACTTAATACTCCCTCACCAAGATCAAACAATACAACATATATAAAATTTCACTACCTTGATCTTAAATGTTTCATTTACTGATAGCTTTTGTCAACCGCCCGGACAACTTGGCTACCATTACAATTATGGGCGTATCACGATGGTCATCGCTTTTTTCAGTCTTTTAGGCACACCTCAATAGCCCTGTGCCTAAGTGACTTGTGTCTGACTGACTTTTGTGCTTAAGATATTTTTGCCTTAATGACAGTTAACTGTTAATATATTCCCATCATCTGTTGTTTCCAATTAAAGTTTATTTCAACTACTTATAGTTTTATCATACACATTCATTCCAATTGATGATATTATCAATCTTATCCAATGTCTGCTCATGAAATGAATAACGTGCTTCCTTATACTACAGTTTAGCATAATGCAGACAGGAGACTAAAACGTTGATCCAGGAAATAAGTTAATGTATTTGTTTGAACCTTGTAACATCTGTAACGTCCTTGTAACATCTGTAACGTATTACAAAAAACTAAAATTGTTAAGATTTACTTTTTAAAACTTTTTATAATTATGAATCAATGAAAATCCTGTTTGTCTTATTATATGCCCACATAATGTGGGGCGTAGGTATATTGATCTACAATTTCTCGTAAACACTCTTAAAGACACAATTGACATGTTTTGACGAAACTTGGTGTGACTGTTATCACCCAAGAATGAAAAATCAGAAAATCAAAAAAAAAAAAACAACTTAGTATCAGTTATTGCCCTTGATTTGTAAACTCGTTTAATATTTAGTTCGTAAACAGTCTAGAAGGCCCAATTCTTGACAGATTTTGAGGAGATTTAGAATGAGTGTTTGTTATCACCAACTTGTCGAAATCCATCAAGAAACCTGCTCTTTATCGTGTCCACAACAATCGTGGACAGACATACAGAGAGACGCCTATGTACGTCCACATTAATGTGTGGGCGTATAAAATGTATATAACGTGAATCAAATTACTTTATATGAACTAACATAATTAAACATACTGTGCAATTGTCAAATTGAGTTCAAATGTACAGAGCGAGTTAAAATTGAAAGCAGATTAGTCTATTAGGTAATGAAATTTCTCGAGGATTGGCAGCGTACATTTCACGCTAATATACCATCAAAATGAAGAAATCTTCTGATTTCCGCCAACCCGACTTCTCAGTTTTAAAAACCGAATTAGTAGACAATTCTATTTTATCTCCATCATAACAACTTATATTATGATGGCACCGTGAATCAAGAATTAAATAGTCTTCACGTGAAAAGTAAACCAACAAGTACGGACCTATCTAAAAGTATCATCATAGAGTTATATAAAAATATTTATATGAAATAATTAGCACTACAATAGTTTTCACTCCATTCAATAACTAAAATAATTGATGAAATATATCTCCGTAAATAATAGGAGTAAAATTTATTTTTAACGAATTCTGTAGATATTTCGGCAGGAAAGGGAAATTTAGATATGACGTCACAACAATCTCATTACATAAAATGACAAATATTTTTCATTCGACCGATAGGAAAACCGAATTGTCGATACGTTTGTTGATTAAAATAGGCTGAATCATATCATTAGAAATTAGTATCAACATTGCAATGTATCATTTGTCCAACGGGAAATATTACCCCCTGCAGAGGAAACCTATGATAGCTTGCCAGGCAAGGTAACATACGCCCACTACCAGCTGTCAGAAATGATAACAAAATCTTTAGTGGCTTAATAATGAATTTTCATATAATCTTAAAATCATCTATAAGTCAAGGGCAATAACTCTGAAACAGTTCATCCAATTATGACCAATTTCGAACTGCGATCTCATCAATACATACATGTATACCAAGTTTCATGAAGATCGGATAAATACTTTAGTCTCTATCATGCCTACTAGGCAAATGTGGCGTTTTTACTCAGTCAAGAGCAATTCATCCGATTATTACCAATTTCAAACTTGACAGATCTTATCAATACACACATACCAAGTTTCATCAAGATCGGATAAAAACTGTAGTCTAACATAACATACGCAACACGTACCTTTTCAACACTGTTTTTGGTCAGAAAACGAATTCTAACGGAACCTGGGTCAAAATATATGGATATATCGTGTTCTATAGAATTCCTCTTCTTAAGTCATGGCACCTAGCAAGTCAAACTGAAGAATATACAGTTGTTGACCAAGTTTAAGACTTCTATGTCTAAAAGGTAGTATCCTTAAAGAATGAATTTAATATATTTTTTCACATCTATTTCTACTCGAGGCTTTAATTATACTCACTTTTCTCTTGTAATGGAACATTCCTGTGGGACAATCAATTCATTTTTTACATTTAAGGATGGCAAGTACGCACCGTATGTGTTGGTATGTTTCGTTGGCATCAATAATATGGACGGTTGTATGGCATACTTTACCATTTATCATTGAATTTAGAAGTCGAAATCGTGTAGACATAATATCCACTAAGGCTCATGTTAGGAATGAAAACAACCAGAACGTGGTACCTATTCTGAGCAAACAGGAGAAAATAAATGAAAAATATTTGGTATATCTGTGCGATGAGAAGGGATATTGTGGTGGCTGGGGTGACAGGCAGAGAGGAATAGTTTCTTTGTTTTTACTGTCTTTAGTGTGGAAACGAACATTGAAAATTTTGATATCATCCCCGTGTGATATTAAACCCTATTATAAACCTACCAACGAATATAATTGGATATTGACAGAAGAAGAGTTGGAAGGATTAAAGGGTAAAAGAAGCAAAACTCTTCATTATATGAACAAAAAGAAACCTCTGTATGACATTAACCTGAACAGCCTAGAGAGTGTGGAGGTCCTATACATAAAAAACAATTATTTCAACTTTTCACAAATTGTTCAAAAATATGCCAAGGCTTTACCTGCTTATTTACAAAACAAAGGACGCGCTGGTATTTTTCGGGAATCTTGGAACAGAATCATGATTCCAACGGACAAAGTGCTAAGCCAGGTCGTGAAAATATGGTCAAGTGGAGTAATAAACTCAGATGCGAAAAAAACAAGAAAGGAACTAGTTTGTGCACATTTACGAACAGCTCTGCCTGAAAATGTTCACTATGCTTATGGTGGATTTCCTCCTGTGGCTGCTACAAAGTTGTGGAATTTTATCGACGAAAATTTTCATAGTAAATCTAGGATATTTGTGGCCACAGATCATCTCGGTGTTCGAAATAGTGCTATTTCTAAATATGGTACAAGATTTATCGGAAGTTACGCCTCCAACGTGCACCCAGATTCCATGCGATATAATTTAACATTGGCCTGTCGTTCTCAAGAATCTGCTTATGTGGATCAATTGATGTTATCGAAATGTGATGTTCTGATTTATTACAGAAGAAGTGGCTTCAGTATTCACGCTTCATATCTCAAAACCGAGTGGACAAATATTTATTCAGTCATGAGAAACGGCAATAGTACATTTTCTCTGGTAGAAGAACACCATAATTGACGTTGTAAAATGAAGGAAACTTCATGTTTTTATGTTGAGGTTCAAAGACATGACTTCAATATATCATTCACATCGCACAATTTGGACTCTCGTACCTTTTCTACAGAATGCCATGAATACTATTTATTATCTTACGCTACAAGTAAGCAATATCTGAGGCCCGTACACATCACACTTCAGTATCATACCCAAATCAGATTTGATGATCGGAACTGTTTAATTTGTTAATACTGTGACCCACAAACACAGATAATGTCTCTCAAGGACTATGAGCCATAATGTCCAGAAACAGGCTTCCAAAACCACAATATATCGTTTATGTATTGGGTTTGAGATATGTATTATGTACAGGGTTTGAGATATGTATTATGTATAGGGTTTGAGATGTGTATTATGTATTGGGTAAGAGATATGTATTATGTATAGGGTTTGAGATATGTATTATGTATTGGGTTTGAGATTTGTATTATGTATAGGGTAAGAGATATGTATTATGTATTGGGTTTGAGATATGTATTATGTATAGGGTTTGAGGTATGTATTATGTATTGGGTTTGAGATATGTATTATGTACAGGGGAAGAGATATGTATTATGTATTGGGTTTGAGATATGTATTATGTATTGGGTTTGAGATATGTATTATGTATAGGGTTTGAGATATGTAAAATGTATTGGGTAAGAGATATGTATTATGTATTGGGTTTGAGATATGTATTATGTACAGGGTAAGAGATATGTATTATGTATTGGGTTTGAGATATGTATTGAGTAAGAGATATGTATTATGTATTGGGTTTGAGATATGTATTATGTATTGGGTTTGAGATATGTATTATGTATAAGGTTTGAGATATGTATTATGTATTGGGTTTGAGATATGTATTATGTATTGGGTTTGAGATATGTATTATGTATTGGGTTTGAGATATGTATTGAGTAAGAGATATGTATTATGTATTGGGTTTGAGATATGTATTGAGTAAGAGATATGTAAAATGTATTGGGTTTGAGATATGTATTATGTATAGGGTAAGGGATATGTATTATGTATAGGGTAAGAGATGTGTATTATGTATAGGGTAAGAGATATGTATTATGTACAGGGGAAGAGATATGTATAGGGTAAGAGATATGTATTATGTACAGGGGAAGAGATATGTATAGGGTAAGAGATGTTTTATGTATAAGGTAAGAGATATGTATTATGTTTAGGGTAAGATATGTGTATTATGTATAGGGTAAGAGATATGTATTATGTACAGGGGAAGAGATATGTATAGGGTAAGAGATGTTTTATGTATTGGGTAAGAGATGTGTATTATGTATAGGGTTTAAGATATGTATTATGATTTTTTTTTAACAGCTTTAACTTTATAACGGTGGATCTATTTGCATTGATGAAAATATAACTTTTTTGTAAGTATATACCAAATGTTGACAAGATTCACTCCCAGAAATTTCAACCCAAAATGTAATGAATTTTTGTTAAATAGGACGTGAAAAAATAATTTCAAAGTAAGCTAATAATAGTAGTAATTATTAGTAAATCTTGACTCTGACATATGAAAAATATCAAATTACAATAAATTATGAATGTAAAATATGCTAATATGTAAATAAATCAATTAGTTTCATTCAGACACAACTATTTGATGAATTGAGAATGTCTGACACATTAATAATGTCACGTTTGGTTAGTTTTTCTGCCGCGAAGCGTGGTGTGTTTAAAATGCCAACTTCGTGCACAATAGTTAAACAATCGAGGGAGGACTTGAGTCTTGCGTTGATGGCTCTGTTCATTACAACGGTTTATACGAACATATTCGCCTGAGTTTTGGCACCCGCAACTTTTCAAAGAGCAATGAATTTAGTTCTACGAGGTCTAACTTGGCACGATGTTTTAGTATATTTAGATGATATCGTAATTTTAGGGAAATCTTTTGAAGATAGCTTAACAAAACTAGAAGAGGTATTCAAACGTTTTCGTCAGTATGGTTTAAAATTAAAACCTAAAAAATGTGAATTACTGAAAAAAAGAGTAGTCTATTTAGTCAATCTAGGGAAGCCCATTGGATTGAGACATTGAATACAGCAAGACCTATAGGACTAAATATTCATCATAATGTAGGCATAGCACCCTTTGTTGTCCCGTTTAATACAACCAGCAATCGAGCAAGCAAGATAGTTCATGCCCAATATAAGAGCCTTCAAGAAAAATTCCCCCATGTCTATAAGCAGAAAATGATAGTTGCATATTCAAAAAATAAGAACTTAAATGATAATATTGTTCATAGTAAACTAAAAACACATAACAGATACTATACTTCTCGCCCATTGGGCGAGTTATTTTTTCTAATTTCAGATCAGAATAAGAACAGAAGAAAACCCAATATCAAGACCCTTAATCCTTATTTCTAAATAAAGTGTCTGCTCCACCCTAGGCCTGTACATTTGGCAGAATCAAACCCTCCCTTCCCCGAAATCACAAGACAGCATTCGAGTATTTAAAGAACGCTTTGATATCGGCGCCTTGTTTAGCTTATCCAGTGATTATTTCGGCACTATTTGTTAGGAAGGCAATTTTACATTCGGATGGATCATAATAGCTTGGTATGGCTGACGCGTTTCAAAAATGTACAAGGTCAATTGGTTCGTTGGCTGGAAGAGTTGTCCTAATATGACATGGTAATCCTTCATCGACCCGGTAAAAACCATACCAATGCTGATGAGCTATAACGCTTGGGGATCCGTTATCTTCTTGTAATTGTTATTATGCCGGATGTAATCTAGATGAGTTACCTTGCGGCGATGTCCGTAGTCAATGGGAGCGTTTCTGCGAAGACGTTGACGATGTCGTTCCATTCGCATCGACTAAGGTCATGAGCGATGCACCAATTAGGCTAGCGAAGTTAGACGACGCACATTCAACCCTTTACAACGGCTCCCAAGCTGATGTTGTGCAATTATCTACAGTATCCGAAAACTCTAACTGGTTGGAGAGTTATACTGCAGATAAACTTAAGGATTTGCAGTGCTCAAATAAATGCATTAAGTTAATTATTGATTGATTAGAAAGTGATACTATTCCTAGAGATTCAGATTTGTATTTGTGTAGTCCAGCGACAAAATATCTTTGGTTGAATCGAAATACGTTAATTCTCGACAATGGCATACTTCACATAACTAACGAAGACAAACTTTGTTCAAACTCGGAAAGGTTGATTACACCCGATGCTTTGAAAACTTTGATCTTGTATCATGCTCATTCCTCCAAGTCTGCAGGTCACTTTGGTCGAAACAAAACTTACGATTGACTTCGTAAACATTATTGGTGGTACGGAATGTCAAATAATTGCACATTATACGTTAAGAATTGCTCATTGTGTAACCAAAATAAAAAAAAGCATGTCGCAAACCAAAGGCATCTTGAAGAAGTTACCAATCTGGATATCCCATGGAACGTTTACACATAGATATTCTAGGTCCTTTCATGACTAGTAATAAAGGAAACAAATATGTTCTTATGATTATAGATCAATTCACAAAATGGTTGGAGATTATTCCCTTACCAGATCAGTCTGCGGAAAAAGTCGCAAAGAATTTGTTGATGAAGTTCATTTGCACATTTGGTTGTCCACTTCAAATTCACTCTGATCAAGGAGCTAACTTTGAGAGCAATCTCTTCAAATTACTGTGCTCTTTACTCGAAATTTCGGAAACCAGGACGACACCATATCATCCCTCTTCTAACGGTCAGGTGGAACGGTATAACAGGACTGTTCTTCGAATGATTAGATGTTATATAGACTACGGTGTCTCTCTTTATGAGAATTTGTTTAATGTTTGACGTTGGAGACAAGTTGATTGTTCAACAAGAATAGGTTATAGCAAGAAATTAATGCCACCATGGAAAGATCCTTTCCTAATCACAAAGACTTTTCATCCCTTATATGAATTCCTATTTGGCTAAAACACCTAAGGCATGAACTTTTATCACCTAGGATCCCTTCCTACCTGGAAACAGTATCTGAGGATCGCGAAGAGGCCCAGAAAGCTTCTTTTGTCAGTCCCATACAAGACGCAAGTAGAACTAGGTCTGGAAGGACGAGTATGTATATTTATTTTATAGAATATGGAGTTCGTGTTCGACCTTAATGATGGTTTGGACTATGAGATTTATGACAAGGAGGATTACTGCAATGCTAATTTTATCATGTACCAACGTCCTGAACAGCAGACACAGCCTGGCACTTCAAGGCCCCATCTGCTCGCGACGCTGCTCTCATATGAAGAGGCACTTACCCGTGTTTGCCAATCGGGCAAATGGGGAAAACTGCAACAGTTGAGCAAGGAAGTGCAAATCTTTGCTGAAAACGATAGCAAAAGAATTTAATTGCACTTCGGTTTACGAATTGAAGCCCTTGGTGAAAGCACACCACTTGTTCCCAACTGCTTATTCATACACACAAAATCCTACCCAAGTAGAGTTTACCGCCCTGGAGAGAGGCTGGTTGACATTCCTCCATAGCAGGGCATTCCTCGGAACACTGAGTCCTCCCTGATGCACTGGAGGATTCTAGCCAACTTCCTGTCCGTCTGAGCTGCATCATTTCAGACGTATGTGGCAAATTTATCCTAACTATTGTTTTCACTTTCATTCATAATTATATAAGAAGGCCATCGAGCTTTCTTCTGTCATTGAATCCACCAATCTATATAATAAGGGTGTATTACAATAAAGGTTAAAATTACAACGTAGTTAGTTATTAATCTTTAGCCTTCTGTTTAAAAAAAAATAAGAGGGGGAAGAGTGTTACGGGAGTTGATCTCCCTTGTTTACAGTCTTGAATATCCAGATACTGGTACAACAAGTTTACGAGTTCACATCGGTAATCTCCGCCGATTTACGAAGAGTGGTATCCGAACGAGACCAAACACGTGCAGTAGTTGTTATGAATGCACGTGCGTGCTCAACCAATCATCAGCCCATGACTGGCT